ATTGAAAATGGAATGATTATCTACCACATCTAAGCGCTCTTTCTCACGACTTTTCAATCATACAATCTGTTGACTAATGCACCCATATTCTCAGCAATTAGGAAGAGGACGACGGTGGTGTTGCTCCATTGCACCTCAACTGCTTTGTTCAAAGTATTGCAAACGTGAACTCGCAGTTCGCATCTTATAAGATGCACTAAAAATTGAAATTCTGGAATAATAAATAACTACTTGTCGGTCTGCTTACTGATTTGTCCACGTGTTCGCTAATCTTATAAACTAGAAGTTTTTCACATCACATATTCCGCTAGATTTCTTAGTTTTATCTTTTCAACATTTAAAACTCTTGTCAACACTTCTCATGTGGACGATAAAGCTTGATTTTTGGCAATGGTCGACTGTGATACTATGGATCTCTATCAGAATGATGGCGGAAACATACTAGCACTGAAACAAAGGCGGATTCTGGAGATGAACTGCCTGAGTTTCAACTACCGTATGTATACTCCGCAAACATAATTTGGGCGCTTTTGTTCGTGCATATTCATATTAATCACCTGGAAAACATTCAACCAAACAAACAAACAAGGAAAACAAATGTATTCAAAGTCACCGCCATAATAGAGATTCCACAACCATTCTAGGATGCCTCAATTTTCATTTAAACTTTTTTCATATCGAGGTACCATTTGAAATACAACCACAAGAACGGTGGGATATATATTTCCCTGCTGCGAAGAAGCATAGACGGTGAAGAAAGGTTAAGACACCGTGATTTCGACTGTAGTTTCATATTGCCAGAGTCCGATGCCGATTTGTGCTAGCATTCGCTCCACCTTGAAATTGCTTTGTGTTATAGGAACGATGGCACCAGCAAAGCGAAGGTGGTGCAACTGCCGACTAACGATTCTCGCTCCCATGTTGCCCCATTCCAGTGTTCGCTCGACACTTTCGTGGGTTGCAGTAAATAATTTTGATGGGGTGATATCCCATAGCCTAACCACTCTTTTGACGTCAATGCTAATACCGCTGTAGTACGGCGCCATCTTGGTTGCGAAATCTTTGTATACCTCATGAAGAATCTTTATATACCCAATAGGTACACCCTGACTATTAAGGACTTCCTTGACTGGCAGAAGGCTCTTCAGGTATTCAGATCTTATCTTATTCGGACCTGGTGCCTTTCGACTCTTCATCAACGAAATAGCATGTCAAATTTCGGAAGAGAGAAGCGATGGTACGACATGCTCATCCACCCTCATTTCATATGAGGGAAGGAAAGTGTGGCTATTGAAGAGATCCGAGCTGTAATTGCAAATAATTTTTGTTACTGTTTTTCTGGACGCTATAACTCTATGGTCTGGGCGTCGGAGTTCAATCATCTTGGTTTTGTAGTTGGCGTCGTTTCGTTGGGCTTTGCGAATACTCTTCCTACCCTCTGCAGCTTCGATCATAACTGCTGGTCTTCCCTCTTTAAGATCTTCTTTTGTTGCCATTCTGCACTGTTTTGCAAGTTCGCTTGAGAGTTAACAGTTGCCCGCAGCTCTTGCTATTCCATTGCTTATCAGCTCGAATGCTTCTGAGGACCGACGTCTCTTGGTTCTCTTCGACCTTCTAACTCTCATATTTAATAGCACTAAGTGGAGATAAGAAGATAAGGTGAATAAGCCAGTCTGTTACTTGTCGATTTTATCAAAAATTGCCTCTTCCCAAGAGCGGACTAATATACTGAGTAAATCTCAGTCTGTCGCGGTTTTAGGACTTTTTTTTGAAATTAACGGCTTTCTCTCTTGTTTGCTAGAGAAGGGACCTCGCGCGAAGGCTTCAATGGTCTGATCCAGTGCAGAATATTTGAATAGTGCCGAAATCAGTTACGAAAACCTTCAACCTACTATTGGTGGTCTGCTGTGGTATGGTCTGTGGTCTATTGCGTTACCGTACTCTTCACTGACATTTCCAAGTCGAGTGTTAAGAGTGTAGCTTCTGGAAATGCAAATTATCATGGATAGCTTTAGTGTCGTAGTATACTCCGACTGCCCCTCAATCTGCTCGTTCCATTCTGTTTCGTAGGTTCTAATGTGACTTTCTTCAGGGGTTTCTGTGAGTCCAATCTTAAAGTTAACCCAATGATGGCATTGAAGAATACATGGTCTTCTCTGGAAAACTTTTCAGAATTTGTATAGAACGTTGCGACTCTATTTTCGACATTGCTAGTACTATAGTGATAATCCCACTAATAGTTCGCATATTTATTTCATTTTACACCACGCAACACCACACACTGTCCGTATCCCCTTATTCATTTCATTCATTTCGTTTTCTCGCATCCGCCGTTCACGAAGGTCTTCGGATTTGCGTGTGGATTCGGCTGCCGTTTGGAGATGTTTGATCTTCTTTAAGAATGTTGTTCAATGCAGTGATAGTATTTGTGACTGAAGCACAATTTTTTTTACCATAAAATACTTTTTCCAAACAAGTTTACCATGTGCTAAATTCACAATTTCCTTCGAAATTTAAGCAGCCCACTACATGTGGATGAATCTTGGAGCCGCAAGGATAAAAAAGGTAAGGCTCTCGTCGTTTATCAATCCCTTGGGGATGCGCCATGCATTCGACTTCATTAAGTATTTTTGAAGGTGATTGAATGAATATCCGGCCTTTCCAATGACTCGCGGTAGCCTACCGGTTGTATTGAGCCAGTGCTGTTATCCTCCCAAACAAGTCAGGTACCAGTTTGCCGACCCCGGAGGGATGGAAGGCTTGGTGGGCCATAGGAGCGGAATTGATCCCACGTGTGTGTTGCAGGGCACCACCGACTACAGCGCCACACATGCCCTCTAATTTAGTGGTATGCGTCCGGTTTAACAAGGAAGCTCTCCCGAAGTTCCAAACTCTCAGCCTCATGGTATTCCTCTGCCATTACCATAGGAAGCCACCTTTGCATCAAAGTGATTTTTGCCACCTAGTGATGTAACGCGATGATGGTGAATGCTATTTCAAAATCGTTACCGTTATGGTTCTACGGCCTGTGTTTGCCTATAACAGTATTTCAAATAATTTCAAATTTTCTATCCGTTTTCCACTTCATTTGCACTGTACAAATTGCCTTCAGAGCAAAGACAGGAATTGCATGAGTTCAGCAAGATTCTAGTACGAGAATCAAAAACATAAAGGTGCAAAAACTCTTGAAGCATCTTTTCTAGTTCTCTGAAATCTGAAGAGAAACCGGAGGAGCGAATCGCTTGTTAACACTCGCGAATCTAGATCGTGTTTCAGATTAATTCTGTTATTTGAGTGAGTTCTCCTGGGTGTCGGACTGCGATCTACAGCGGGGGATTCATTCTCTTACAAGGTTTCCCATATTAAGCTGAAGCCCGCAAAAGCAGTGAGGACGGGCCGTTCATGTATCAAGTATCAAGTATTTGAGTGAGTTTCGTTCATCATTCTTTGTGAGCAGCAACGATTGGCTTCACTTACTAGAAAACGATTATGGTGAGTAGAAGATCACGTTTGGTTTCTGCACTAACTTTTATTAAGATTGTAGGAAGAGAACCGAATGTGCATATGTAACAAAAGGCGAAGTTGTTGACGGTAATGTTGAAAATCGTGTCATCTAAGGTCAGTTGGTGAGGACAAAATAACCAGGTGCCAATGTCTGTTGGACCCATTAATCGTAGTATTGAACATAGTATGGAAGTCCTTCACGGAACCTTGCAATATACGCCTCTCTTGTAAAAGCTTTGCAACTATGGACTTAAAAGGTCTGTACTTTTTAAATTATCCGCCTCTTCATTCTGTATGTACAAGATTCACTCAATTAAATACTGTCATATTCAAATGTATGTATGCTCATAGAAAGGTAGGAATTGAAGGACAGAAATGATTACGTAAGATTTAAATTGTGAACGGCTCTTCTGCTAAGCGGAAACATAGTTTTCAGAATTTTCTATGTGAAGCGTCCAACCAGAAACTGTTGTTCACTCACGAAACCAGGACTACTCGTTATCCAAGCAATACATTTTATACAATGGCTCATGGAGCATTTAAGGTGGTAATAGAACTTGAAAGAATCTTTGTTAAAGTAATGGCATGCCCTATACCCTAAGAAAATATGTTATGTTAAAGATGTCATTTCATTTATAAATATAACATCAAAACCAAGTATCATTTGGTCACAAAGGTTGCACCGTCGACCGCTTCAGTGAACGATGTAGAATGCACGAAATAATTCTAATTAAATAAAACTTCAACAAGAACATAGATGTGACATCGTTTATGTCATTGGAGTGTTCAGAATGATGATTAATTGCAAAGTCAGATTTTATGGCAGACAGCAAGAAAAGAGTCAGCTTCCTATTACAAACGACATAGAGGAAGACCGTATTAATCCTACAAAATGTTGAAAGAGTGCTGCTCGGCAGTCTGCAATGATATTCGGGGATATTCAGGGTAGTTAATCCATAACGCTGATCATTCCAATTTACATATGGAAAAGTACAAACAAAAGCGCATGAGAATTACATTATTGACATCTCAGAAAATGGTACTTTCTCTGGAAAACCCGTTTCGAAAAAAGTCACGAACGCGATTTCAACATAGATTTCATGACTAGAACTCTAGAAAGGCATGCAGTCATGGTAGTAGATACAATGGAACGTGCTCGTTGCCGTTGGTATGTTGGAGAAAGTATCGTTTTAATCGAAAGATTAGGTATAATAGTAACATCGTGAAGCGAAGCATCGAACACTTTGGCACACTTTAGCTCGAACGGCTAGGTTAAATCAATATATGAATTAGTAGAATACAGTTAAATTACCCTAGTAAATGGATGACACATAGAGATGAATGGCAAAGCGGAACGATGGCGAAATCCGAGCAAATAAATGGTAATGCCGTGGCGAAGAGGAGGTGATGTGGTAGCCGACGAGGTGGTCGTCGGACAAAGCGGTCTGACCGCACGATGATGACGATGTGAAGACAGGATGAGGAGGACGAGGAAGTCAGACGAATGTGAAGTAGCCATCAGATTTGCGTCTTTTCTTGCCGCGAGTTGGATTCGAGCCGTCAAATGGCGGCTTCGCTCTGCAACAAGCAGCTAGGTTAGCGCAGAACGCCTCCGTTCGCGGCAGCCCTGAAAGCCAGCACTACACTCAGGCACACTGCCGGCAGCCAGCGTGACTCAGCGCACACTCTCACTAACGGCTCGGTTTTCGTCTACGCTCATCGCAGAAGCAAGTCCGTGCACTTCCTGATCGGGATATCCGATGCCCCTGCAGCGGAACTCGCTCCTCGTTAGCACCCCCTAACCATGTCAAGCACACGCGTACTGTGCTGACCGCAGATATTAAAAAGCAAAACAAAGCAAGCATGTGAGGCAACACAACAAACGCAGAACAGAATGATTCTTCGACATACCTCGTCTGACCAAGTAGCCATGTCTTGAAGTTCGCGTCAAGTTTGCTCGGTGATTGAGTCACGCCTCCTTCAAACATCTCGATGGGGCTCTGAAAACAGTACGCAAATGAGGTGGTAATGAACGGAATCGCCGTTGAAAGGATTCGCAAACAAAGCGCGTTCTGTGTTACTTAGCTGACAGATAGACGTGCTTTCTCTAGTACACGACGGAAAGCTGGAAATAATCGCTTGTAAAGTCTTTCAACGGCGTATTCAGGAGTTTCATCACAAAGCTAGCATTCATAGAAGAGTAACAATCTAGGGAATGAAACTTGACAATAACAAGAATGTGATCGACCATCAAGACATTGTGGCAGACAGTTGAATGGCGACAAATGCGATTTCAGATGATGTGACCCATAAGAAAAAACATTATCGCGGGTACAGTTCATAGGCAGTCCTTCGCTTATTATGTAATTTTCGATGCGCAAAATTGCTTTCGTGAATAAACATGGTAGAGTTGATGAATGGATGATCACACTCTTGTAGGGATTGAGCGGAATGAAAAATAGAGGAATCACGAGCTACCAACTCAACCCAACGTACGTATGCGATTGATTAGTGGTTGAGCGATTCCGTAGAGTTGAATTGGATCTTAGAAAATAGACATTTATACAAGATAATTAATATAAATACACGTTCGTTAAACCACATGCATTATTAAATATTACTAGTAGCTAATCGTTTTTTCATATGTGAATATAAATATCGCTGGACGCATGGACAGTGAACAGGCACAGTTGACAGCAGAAATCTACAATCACATGCTGCAACCCACCTTGCGGACTCGATCGTTGAAGTTATGCCAGAGAGCAACAATCAGTTCGGTAGCCATGATATCGCCAGCATGAGCTGATATCATTCGCATGCAGAACACCTAGACATCGGGTACTAGTGAACAGAACGTGGAGGAACAGAACTGCTGCACGCGATAACGCAGAGGAGAAGTTTGCAACAAAATAGGCTTTTCAAACTCACACCATCGAAACCGAGAAATTTATGCACAAATTTCTTCACCGATTGTCGATCAGTGGCAAGATCCGTTGCTCGCAAGTACTTCCGAATAAATTTCATATGCTGAAAAATGCCAGATTTTTCGGTGATTCATATCTCAAAGTCATAACGTGTCTCTCATATGGAGATCTCCTTTGCATTCTATTCATGAAGAATACGAAGATCAACTTCGTTGGAAACTTTCTGATGGAAAAACTGACAAGGATAATGAAAAAAACGGATAAAACTTTCGGCGTTGATCAATCCCTGAGGGACGCGCCATGCATTCGACTTCATTAAGCATCGTTTGGAGGTAATTGAATGCATATCTGGCCTTTACAATGACTCGCGGTGACCTACCGATGCATCGGGCCAGTGCTGCTATCTTCCCAGACAATTCTGGTACAATTTTCTGACCCCAGAGGGATGGAAGGCTTGGTGGGACATGTGCGCAGGGATCGATTCTTCGTGTGTATTGCAGGGCGCCTTCGACCACTGCTCCACACGGGCCCTCCGACAAGGATAACAAGTATTATAGCGTAAAAAAATACAAGCTGAAGGGTACTTCTCATCTCTTTCGTATTCGTGACGATTCTGGCTTTTCGATAACCTACTATTTTTCTGTGAGTACTTAAGGACTTGGAGAAACAAGAAAGAAACTTTCCCTTACTTTCCTTGCGCTATACGTAATTTTTCCGAAATAATGCTTTTACTTAAATTTTAAGCCAAAGTTCGAACGCATATGCGCCATCTGCAAATATTAGACGAAATCCCACTTACTCTATTGCTTTACTGCTTATATAAGAACGTTGAGCAAAAAATTTCTTTGTTAGTCCAATGAAATCAAAAGTCTGTCTTAAAAGTGAAAATTGCACCTTATTGGTAAAGGCTTGTAAATTTTAAGGAACTGTTTTCCAACAAATGGAACTCATTATTAGCTGAGATATCACATTCTAAAAGCTAAATTTTCGACCAGGCGTTCCTCATATTTTTGAGAATATGTGCTGAAATCCTGGCATACTCTTTCATTAATAAAGAGAGAAATGCTAAAATATCATCTCGTAAACCATGAGAGAAATGCCTTACCAAACTTACTGCTACCTATTGTGGCACAAATACTTTACCCTTTGAGTGCTTTTTTCAAAATTCGGCCTCATACATCATTTTTAAGTCCTCTGGCAGGAATTGTGCCAATCTGAATAAATCGTAATGGCAAAGTAGTAGGCCATAATCTGTTCCATTGGAGCTATTGACTGCTTACAGTAAAAACTGAGAAACACTCATTACGACTATCTCGGTTTTCGAGTGAAAATTACGTTCGGCCAGCATCCAACATGTAACTGAGGAAAGAAAGTTGCAGATCATCAAGTTTCATACGAATTCGACTATCAAAGCACATGACGGTTATGAGATATGGAACGAACAGAAACGTTGATACCCATACATATGGGGAAAAACTATGTGACTTATAAGCATGATAATATTGGGAAGAGACTTAAGTAAGATAACTATGGATTTCTGGAGGAAAGCAGTCCACCACGTCTTGGAGCAATCGAACTTCAGTCACAATGGTGAAGAGGAAGCTAGCAGCATTGAAATAAAGCCGAATCATCGACTCAACATGGTATGACACAAATTCAAAACAAGCTTGTGTAAAAAAGCAGAGTCTGTTTAAGTTGGCAATGATCAGATGTAGAAATTTTTCAGAAAAACTGACTCGACTTTAGCTCTAAATATCTACGTATATCAACTTCCGCTATAAACATAGTTAAGGTAAAAGGATCCTGACCAAAAAATACCATGACAGAATATAAAAATTTCTCCGTATGTCATGTCTTTTTAACCATCATTTACAAGGCTGCCAAAACTTGGGAGTTAAACATTTCCGAATGTAAGTTAGTTAGATGTAGACCAATGACAGAAACCACTTCCACGGTGCTATCAAATTGGTTGAAAAGTGACAAACCCTCATCCCTACAAAGGTCGGCGACTTCTTGCAGGGACCACTTGGGAGCTTCTCATTCTCTACGCTGTGCTTGATACCGTAGCACACTGCAAGGTTCATTTGATTCCCCGAGTGAAGACTAAGAAAAACAACAGCGACATAGAATGACTAAATAAAAGGATGCTTGTTATCGGTAGAAAAAGGTTTTGCACTATGGACTCATCATGAGACTTTCTGTTTCCTAACTGGCCAATTCACACGGGATCATAAAACTTCATTTTGGTGTTCTTCTTGTTCATCCTCCTAGCCAGAAGCGTGTGGTCTATTTCTACTTACAAATCGAATGGTAAGCACTTCATTAACAGCTAAAGAAATGATCCTCAATAAAAACGCCTTATAAGTACACTATTCGATAAAGTAACAGCATAAAACGATCGGCGAAATTGAATATAGGATCAAGAATCTTGACCAATGAAATAGAAATAGGAATAAAAGCCCCTTGCTGCACTCGTGCCAACAACATGCGCCATATATGGAAACTCAATCTCGTATACATATGGACGAATATGAAAATATACATACGGAATGTTCATGTCGCTCCGATGACTGAAAAGAGACAACGGAATCATTCCAAGAAACCTTCTCGTTTTCAAGGTAGTCTTTGGTTTTGGTTTGTCGTTTTTGGTTCGCGTACAACCCTCTACCGATCCATTACATCTTGTTCTCTCTGATTTGCCTCCTTTTTTTTTAAAGTTATAACTGGGTTTTGTTTGACTAACCTGACCAGGTAAAAATGAAATGAGAATCCAATGTAACATAGAGGTCACTGACACTACCGACACCATAAAATACCAGAACCTGCAATAGTAAACAGATACACAGAGCTAAATCAACCATTTTAGGAAAAAGGTCAGATCGACAGCCCTACGAGAAACTGTGTGCTTTTAGCACAACTGAATCATATATTAATAACTCGAAAGACCGACTTTCTCTAAACCTCGGCATAGATAGTTGATATATTTATTTATGTGATCTAATAAACTGATTTTCTTAAGCTGACGCGAGATTGGTACAGATCTTCGTTGTCGTTGTCGTTGTTTTTGATGTTATTGTTCGTTGGCTGACGTTTCGGCGACTTCGACTTCCTCAGAGCCTGGACGTATTTTATATTAGGGTATTTTTATTATTCGGCGGAAAAGAAAGGTTAAAGTGTTAATGAAGACCAAACTTTCAAATAGACGCCATACTGAACAGAAAGGCCACTCACCGTAATGTTACGTGGGGGACTGGCGCAAAACTCTTGAGGCGTTTTCGATAAATTTCGAAAATCCAAAGATGAACCGTAAAGACGAATGCCTCACTAACACGCGTGACCTGGCGCCCTATTTCGAAATGATATTTTGACCCCGGGGTGTGTCCTGCTCGCGACTCCACGAAAACAACGTGTGGGCCAGTCCCGCACGTAACATCACGGTGAGTGGCCTTTCTGTTCAATATGGCGTCTATTTAAAAGTTTGATCTTCATTAACACTTTAACCTTTCTTTTCCGCCGAATAATAAAAATACTCTAATATAAAATACGTCCAGACTCTGAGGAAGGCGAAGTCGCCGAAACGTCAGTCCTCGATCAATAACATCAAAAACAACGACAACGACAACGAAGATCTGTACCAGCCTCGCGTCAGCTTAAGAAGATCAGTTTATAAGATCACATAAATAAATGAATCATATATTACTATCAGTGGTTCAGTAGCCTTGTGATGTCTGTTTTTACAAGAAGTTAGCGAATTTGTTACGAATATTAGAGAGCAGTAATGGAGAAAAATGGGAACAAATTGTGTTCGACAAACCACAAAAACAAGAAAATCTTCTCGTTGAACATGTTGATCATGAGAACGCATTGGACGGTGTGATGATGCACGTTACCCAGCACGCGAACCTGTAACGTAGCCAGTTCTCCAATTTATTACTGAAGAATTCACTTCTTTTTTCTATTTTGCATGACCCGTCATCACATCTGCTGTGAAGATCCCACCACTTGCATTCGATTCTATTTCCCTATGAGAGTGTTGTTTCGTCTGCTGTTGAAGGAATTCGTCATCTTTATGAATGTGGTAGGATGCTGATCGAGTCGACACTCCTTGCAATTTTGGAGATAGTTGTGCTAAGGTGTTCCCATGTTGATTGTGGGAAAGTGTTGAGAGCGGGCGAGCCAGCACTTTGTTTCCTCATGTATGGCATCTCTATCTGATGCACTACTCCTCCATCATTAAAGAATATATGAGATAGAAAACATCAAAAAAGGCAAAGAAACAAAGGCCGATATTTCCTTAGCTAACCTCGAAATCACACATCGTTACACGAGGAAAATTACCGCTAACTTCCCATTCTCGGCCATTAAGGAGATCTTTCAAAATATGGAAGCCGTAAAATAAGTTATCGGTACCAAGAAAACTATTCAAGATAAAAACCTAAAGTACTTTTATTAGTTGAATGAAAAAAAGACCAATAATTACATAAATTTTATGCACTGGACTGAAAGACTTACTTGTAAAACAACATTTCCTAAATATAACATCTTAATAAACACGTAGAGACACGTGACATAATTTCCCCATCGTTTCGATACACATAACCCGGATACGTCAGTGACCTTAAGTAAATTTCGCTGATTACAGAAACAACTGAAGAAGAGTTTGAAGGATTTAAATCCTGGAACTGTATCTCGAACTTTCCCTATAGACTGGTTTCATTCAGCCTTTCAACAAAAGCCTATGATTTCAAGAAATTTGAAGACATTCTCTGAAAGTCCTAAATAACTAGTGGCTGCTGACTTCTCGTTGAATTTCCAACGCGTCTTCCATGTGTCCAGCAATTGTCTGGACTGTGGCAGCTCTTGCATCCGCATCCATCATTCGAGCATCACATGCCATTTGCGTTAAGGATTGCACGTTAATTCCTAAAAATAATGTACTTCATATCAATGACAAATTTACAATAAGTCTTATCTAGAGTCTACATAACGTAAAAAGAACTTCCAGTAAAGATTTCTCTTTTATAGAGTCGTAACAGCATGATTAACATTCTGTCATTAGCCATATCTGCCTTCTATTTTGCTAGCAACAAACGTAAACCTCCACCCCAGATGAATGGATGAAAGGCGAAGCGTCTGGCACTGATCAATCCGTACAGAGTGCACCATGCGTTCGACTTCATCAAGCATGGTAGAGGTGATTGAATGCATATTTCCCCCATATAATGATTCGCAAGAGCCCATCAATAGACGATCCTGGAGTGATTGAAGCCTTTGTGAATGGGACTTTAGTTCGAACTAATGACCAATACAGTTTGGCATCTCTGACCACTGCACTATACCCATTGTTCTCCCCAGAAAGACAGTTACTATATGGTAGCTCATCGCTTGTATAATTTGAAAACTATACGAACGTAACGCATTTCTGTCCTCCTTCTTCGTGAAAGTATTCAGTAAATGGCGTTTCTGATATCGGCTCTGACTTTTGCTCACATAAAGATCAAAGACTGCACTTCAATATGCTACATTGTACGAAGTGCAGACAATGTAGGGATGTCTTTATTCTTACTATACTACCAACACCTGTATTGTTCTACCAGTGCACAGACTTGAAGGTGCATTATTCCACTTATGTCCCTATAGCATGGAGTTTCATCAGTAACGTATAGATAGAAGTTTCGCATCTGCAAAATAAGTGATGAATGGATACTCTGCTTCTACTAGGATGTAGTAGTCCCTTGCTGGCAGTGGACTAGAGAGCTCAAATCTAAAGCGCTCGTTAGTTTCGTTTCTGTCGGCATCATCGATTCTGGTGGGTCTTCGTACAGCCGGACGAGTGTCAAAATATGCTCAAATTCCGTCTATTCATCATTGTGCACGACACAAGACGCTCATCACCCAAGAATGCTTACTAGCTCTCGTGAAACCTCCCTTGTTGTCCATGAAACGAAATTTTGGCCTATGATTAGATCTTCAGCCTCCAATAGTGCATTTACTGAGAACGAAACACTTAGTGGCGAAGACGTGCTGCTGCTAGTGTTGTAACGGTGGCAATATAATGATTTCTTGGATCTTAGTTGTTGTGCAAATATTCAAGTCACGCAATCAAATATTGGCCAGTGAGTTTTGGCCTAGCTGAAATATGCTGACCGTTCGTAAAGTCAGGAATATCTGCTGTCCTAGAAGAGAAATAGGTGCTTATCGAATGACGTGAAGTATCCGCTATAGCGACAGGAGTTCATCCTATCACAAGCATGATTTCGAAATTTAAACACTTCCATATATCCATCCTGGAACACAGCTAAGAGTAAACTAGTGTCAGAAATCATTACAATGCTGGCAGCAAAGTATTCACCGACTGGCATGTGGAGACGACCTGTGAAGATTCTAGCTTTGATTTCAAGTATAAAAGCCGAATCTAACAACCAAATTACAAGTGAAAACGAAATTCTATTGGAACCTGAATGACCCTCCGTGAAGACGAGTCATTGAAACATCCATCCAGATTATGCACTATATATGTATATATAGGGCGCGTGTGGCACAGTAGTTGGAGGCGCCACTGCGATACACACGTGGAATCGATCCCCGCGCCCATGGCCCAGCAAGCATTCCATCCCTCCGGGGTTGGCAAATTAGTACCAGATTTGCCTGGGAGGATAGCAGCACTCACTCCATACATCGGTAGGCAACTTCGAATAATTATATAGGCCAGATATACATTCAACCACCCCCAACCCACCTCCAACGATACTTAATATAGTCGAATGCTTTGAGCATCCCTCAGAGATTGATCAACGCCGAGAGCTTTATCCTTTATATTTATATATACATATATATGTATAAAAGGCATCATATATGCATTTTATCTTGACGGAACCGAAACGTGCCTGAATGCCAGTGAAGGAGACCACGCCACATTATGCAGGGAACGTAGAAGCACAGAGCCTCCAACGCTAATACAAATGGAACCCATTGATAATAGCTGATCTGACGAGCTCTAAATACAGGAAAGCACAATTCTTGAAATGATAGATAAGTTATACAAGAGAGAAATGTGTCTAACATTTCTCTTTAGCATCGTTCATTCTGCAGTTAATAAAAACAACTCCCAAGAAGTATAATTTTCACCTTCGGTCTCCATATTCCAAAGGAAAAGCACTAGTCAGCGGTAAATAGTATGTGTTTTCAACCCAGCAATAGTTCTCCGTGTACTGCTCCCAAGCATCGGTAAACTGCGCAGGTACCCAACATTGAATCGGATATCCTTAGATGAACAAATCACAATAGATATAATAAAAGCTGTTTAACTGAATCCCATGAGAGTTCAGTCGTTGTTATGGGTCCTCTCAACGATTCAGCTCATTTGCTGCACGTTTTTTAAAATGATTTTGTGAAAGATTTTTACAGATCTACCTGTACAACTTTACTTATTTATGGATATTGAATCGATGTGGAACTTACCAACATACTGCTTGGCGGAAACGATAATGGCGAATGCGAAGATTATCGCTGATGTATAATGATAATTCAACTTATCGACAAAATCATCATCTACCCTCGGATGAAGACCCTTGAATATAGCCGCCAGATAATACAACAACATCCCAGCAGATAGGAGCTGAAACGAGTTCTAATCACTTTATATTGCAACAATACCTTAACACATGGTATTTATTTGCATAGTACATTTACATTTACTTAGTTCGAACACTATTAATACTAGTAAAATATAAAAAAAAATAATTTCATCGAACATAAAGCTGGTGGCAGATGATATAGCGCCTTTAAATTCATGGAAGCCACGAGTACATCGTGAAAAAACAGAATCCGTTCATGGTCCCTTTGCTTTAGAGAGATCAGTGACAGGGGCAGGCTAACAATAGGAACATTGTACACAAACCAAAATTGGCGATGACGACATACACAAACTTGCACGTGGGCCCATTTCTTCTTCTAGGATTGCAAGACACTTCATTAAGGCATTATTTTATAACATGTTGATGTAGTAACGGAACGTACTGGTAAGCATGACTGCCTACTATGACGTTAACAGAAAGAAAAGTGTGTGACTGCTTTATATTACAATGGCTGGAGGAATTCAAGTTATGCAACATCTGTGCGCAAAAGAAAAATCATGAACTCGCTGGTGAGCACACAATCACGGTAACAAAATCAGAGAAACGTGTGCGCTTCGGACTGACATCGCTGAAGCGACTCAACGCTGGTCACTTTGCAAGAGCAATGTGCAAAATGTGCAACAGAAGGTACCTTGACCGTGAGTCGCAGAGTTATTAACAACCCTTCTTTAACAGGTAACTACACCAAATAATAGAAATTGTAATCAGTGAAAGAGTTGGTGCAAATATCAAAAGAATCAAAAAGAGTCCACCTACTTTAATAAGCAAGATTAATACCGCAATACAGGCGAAGTTATTCCTCTTCATGCTGGTGAACCGGCTAAATCTTTCTCTCATCTCGAGGACTGACACGAAAGGCCGAGGAGCTCGACATGAGACCACCAAAGTCTTCTTTAGGCAATAATGTGATTCATGAGTCACATTAAATGGATAGCGAATAAGTTTCCCGAACTGAACTAATGACTACATGAGCAGACAACTTATATAATGACATGAATTCGCAGTGGTCCACACGTAATGATTAGTATAGCATGTCCTGATGCAAGTCCTTGCTGGATGTGAAGAGTGGTAGTATTTCGAAACTAAGGTCAAAGCCAAAACGTTCGTACATTCGTACGAAAAATATGGAAGACATGAACACACATGAAGCAAGGTACACTAAAAAATCGACCCAGTCTGCTCACTCACATCCTCGAATCCTATAATTATTCAAGGCATTTTGTTACAGTATAAGAGCATCATGTTATACAACTAATTTGACACCATTCTCGCTAAAGAGGTATTACTCAGCTGTTCCTAGTTTAGGACCACTTTCGAGAATCGGAAATCCCTCTTTACATGGTGTTTCGCCGAACAGCAGCACGTCGGGGTAAGGAAAAGGCGGTCGTTTGTGTCGTGTGTGTCACTCAGTCAAACTAAGGTCACTAACCATCGCCTTCCCATCAAATCATGTACATCGACGCAGGTGTACCACTCTGTGGACCACAGCCGTAGCCATCTTCAACACGGATAACTATTATAACTGACAGGTGATACTGCTGCTTCTGTCAATACTAGTAATGAGGTGATAATTTTAACCTACGATTTTGATTATGAGAATATTGTCGGTAGTGGATGAAGGACCTGCATGGTGTGGTGGTGAATGCGTCAGCCCTGGAAAGGGGAATAGCGCGTTCGTTCCCCACCGCAGACACCTGCGGTCCGGAGTTTTGCAAATATCTTAGCATCATCTTAGTAGTATTTCACATGATTCCTGCCGTGAAAAATTATAGTAGGCAGTAAATAAAATGGTTAAGATTGTGATTTCAACTTCAGCCTCAGCTTAACTGGGTTCGTTACCGATTTGGGCTCCCTAGATCAATCCCGCTGACGGGTGATTGTTGATGGCACTGATCGATAGAACTAACTGAGAGACAGGCGAAACGAAGGACCCACATTGTGTAGTAGTGAACGCGTTAGCTCCCGGAAAAGGTAATAGCGCGTTTGTTCTACACCGCAGACACTTGCGGCCCGGAATTTTGCAAATATCTCAACAAGGTCCTAATTGTCGGCAGTGTTTACCTAACGAAAAAAACCACCACACAGTGCTCTTAATTTATTTCCTTAATAAAATGTAAAAAAGGTGTCGATTAGTGAGCAATGGATCCCAAACGTAGTAAATATGTGACCTTTTCATCTAGACGAAAAAGGGCGTTGGAAACCACTGGAATTCGATGACCTTAACAAAAGTGTTGCCTTCCAATAGTTCATTTTGAAGCAAATATTTATAATCAAACAACATCAAATCGAATAAAATAGGCAGAGATGGTGAAAAAAGTTGTTTTCAACAATTTATTTAGTTTCTATTAGGAATAAAGATTTAATACTTGGATAGTTGGATGGCCCGTCTTCACTGATTGTGTGGGATCCAGCATAATTTCCATTGTTTCGGAGTTTTGTTAGCCACTGTGGTTTCCAGCAGTCCCGAGGTCAGCCAGGCCAAAGTCTGCTCCAGGTTGTCACCACCACAGTCAGTCGCCGCCCTTGTGGAACAAAAAGAGATCTGCCACCATGCGAGTAGTTCGATACCAGGACGGTGGTCGATTTTAGTGTTGGTTTACTCTTACTAGGGCTTCCTGATGGAAACACAAGACTCCTTTTCAGCCTAGGAAACACAGCTGGGGGATGAATCCCACCGCTATATATCCCAGTCCGGCACTCAAAACAACCTGCCAATCACAATGAGGTGGTAAAGCGTTGAAGTATTTAATAAAAAGGTGATTTCAGTAGAAATAATATTCGAACACAGTACTGGACGATGTTTCATGGAAACGCTCTACAGCAGGGTGAGCAATTTGAGATAGACAGAGGAGTACAGTGACTTTGGTTACCAGTGTAGCACCATTAATGACATCAACGCTATATTGGACTTAATAAAGTCCTTAGCAATAGGTACGGCATGTTGATGAGAAATTAAATGATGAAGTGAAGTAATAGCAAAGCTGTTAACGAGGGTTAACGTGAAGGATCATGCCACCCTTCATAGGTTCACTTCTCTCACACATTTTGCTATATCGAGCTTTGATATTGAAGCGGTATGGCAAGAAATTGCAGTGTTATAGGTGACAAGCGAACGACAGATTGAATCAATTAGTTCGACCGCTACCGTATACAGCAGAAGCGAACAGCGATGTTGATTAATATCTTTAGTGACTTTATACGGTAACGCCGTTAAATGCGAGGACGAAGGACAAACTAACCTTTCTGTCCTTGTTGAGATATGTTTTGGAGAACTTAGTGTCGTACGGAGCGGCACTGGACGGATGCACAGGATAGCGAGATACGTGGTTCAAACGCTCGCATTTCTTAAGGTTTGTATGCTGAAAAGTGTAATTAACGCGTGAGTAATACTAGTAAGGATAACAGATGAGATGAGTGAATGAAAATAGGGAACAGAGAATGTATTCCGCTGCTTATATTTTCGTATTACACATCGTCTGAACACGAAGATTTCCAAAGCATGGAACTGGTGAAGGCAATAAAAGATCAAGTCTACAAATACGTTCTTTATGCAAATTGGTTTCTTCCTTTGCGTGTTAAATCGAAAGACTAGTAATTAGCAGGAGAAAAAAGTCCAAGTGAGCAGCTTCAGTCAGCAATTAGAAAATCTGTGTTGAAGCACTATCTGTTGAGAAAACACGAGAAGCACAATATCACATCAGCGTGATATTTTCTAACGTTAATCGAACCAGCGATGACTTTCAACGAAAAAAAGTTTATTCCACTTCTTCCTAACTAGTAAACAATGTAGCTAGGCAACAGTCAAATGGCAAACACATTAAAGGAAGGAAAAGGACCACATCAAGTGAAACACATTCTATAGTGAAGTTTTCTAATGCCTGAGACCTGATACGCCGGGTATACGGGCTGGTAAGGAGAATTTCCTTCATCCTTGCGCAAAAGAAACTTCCAATTCAAATAATCTATAAAATTTACCTCTTATGCAATATAGAAGTATTTTATAGAAAAAGAAAAGTTGTTAAATCTGTGCCAGAGCTGCTTCAATACAGAATATCTCCTTAGGATTGTTTTCACTAGGATAAAGATAGTGCATGTAAGTATAAAGCATGTCAAATTGCATTTCTAACCGATACTAGACGGTTGTCCTTGGAAAATTCGTTGTCCTTTGTCAATGTTCATGTGAACACTAAAACAACTCCTCTGGAGAATCGCTGAAACGATGTTAGACCATCTAAACTCCATCAGAAAGCAGCTTCAAAGGACACCGCTTTTAATTTGGCGACGCACGGAAAATAAAGTTTTGTCGAAATACGCCAGTGAAGAAAAGAGTATATTACGGAGTTAAGAGCAACGTTGTGAAGTGATCAAGTAGACATAAATCATGGTGCGACAAGGACAGCAACAAGAAGAGACACTAATTAGACGGATAGAAAATGCACCCACATCGTCGTAGCGAAATCACCATAAACACAAAAACACGTACATATACATATATACATATATGCACGTCTGCGTACAAACATACATATATACATACGTACAAACATATGTACATGCAAACATTCATACATATATACACACGCTCTGCGTCTACTGTGGTGTGCTGCCTGGATTAGCTGGCTATAGCAGTCGTTCGGCTCGGCCCAGAAGCTAGAATGAGGTCAGATGATTTGGCTGCTGCCGTCGTTGCTACTGGTGCGTAGTGAGAAAGCGCCCCGAGGCTCTACTAACAGTGTTAGCTGTTGCCACCGCCCGTCGATGCCCGATCCGAGCAGATGCAAGAGACACTCACGCAGTCCACCTAAAAGCGCCGACTCGCACGCGCTCGATTTAATTTGGGATCAGACTTTCACAGTGAGAACACAAGAAACGAGATTCGCTCGGCTTTCCGTGATTACTGTATACCTTAACATACGTGGATGCCACAAATCTTTACGATTATATGAGCTCTGTTGCAATCTCTTGC